TCCTCATAATGCATCACCATAAGAATGGGGATGCAGTCAGCAGAGTCCAGGAGTTATTTCACATGCCAGTGATATGACCGTGCCCCATGTATTGTTCCATTCAACATTTGTTATGGGTATAACTGGACGGAATGCACGGAGAGAGAGCAAGTCGTCAATGACTACAGAGACAAAGGTATAGAGAGGAGGAACAAAGTTGCGTCGAGGAGAATGCCATCAGGTACGACGAGTACCGACAGCCTGGTGCTGCGTTATGCAACAGACAGGCACCGGCACAGATTAAGGCACTTTCAGCCTGGGATGCCTTCGACCCGACCCGTACACCATCACGGCCTGTTCCGGTACTCTGTCACAGGGTGTGGTACACGGCTGCGGCGGTACCTAGCCGTGGTACCCGTACCCTCCGTGTCCGCCATGGCCTCCGCCGTAGCCTCCGTACTTCTTCCCTCCGCCGTAGCCGCCTCCATGACCGCCATAGCCACCTCCGTAGCCGCCCTTGTGGCCTCCGCCGTAGCCGCCGCCGTGGCCTCCGTAGCCGCCGCCGTGGCCGTAGCCGCCGGGGCTGGCCAGAGAGGCGGCGAACAGAGCGCAGAGCAAGACGAGCAGTGAGAACGCCTTCATTGCGTGGCTGGGCCGGGCTACTGTGTGCGACCAAGTGTTGGCTGTGACCTGGCCTGCCGTGTGGCGGGGCCGCCTTTATACAGCGGCTGGGGACGGGTGACGTCACAGGTCGTGTGGTGACACGGCCCGGTCGCACGTGGGGGGGAGGCCGGACCACCGGCGACACGGGACACGAACGCCGGGGGAGTTGCAGACCTGGGGGGGGGGGGGGGGGGGACGTACGACGGTGGTGCTGTCTGGGCTGGTTCACGGCAGGGGACGGGCACCATTTCTACCGTTTTGCTCCAGCGGCTACCCAACGCACGAACCTCATTTACCAAGGTTCGCCGCGTGCCGATATTCTCTGGTGCGAAATAATCACGGTAGTTGTGTAGTCGGGCGTGACAAATGCCTGAACTGCATGCTGAATACCGTCACAAAACCAGAGCTTTGGCATGCGCACACAGGCTAGCAAAACATTACCGGATACCAGAAAGGCGTGTCGCTTTCTTTCAACATTGGAGGCTTTTAATTCCACCCCATCAAAACATGCCGGTGTATTTCATTATTCTTGTACAGAAAAATAATTGACAGGTTAAGAGACAATGCAGCAGACTTCGAAATGCCTGCGTGACCGTTTTATTCCTGACGGCCCCGCTCGTCCAGTCCTTATTGCGAGTCAAGCAAAGATATATCTTGTCTGCCTAGATATTCTATTAGCCAGAACCTTACACTTACGAGTACACATACCACTTCAATGACAACAACCAACAGCAGCCTCACATTCTCAAAACAAGTGAGCGTGTGAGGATACACGGTAACAAACGGTTCTCTTCATGCACTTCCTTCAACGGAAACAAGTCCGAGTCGTCTGTTGCGGAAATGACGTGATAAATTAACCAATGAGAAGCGAGTGAGACATCGTGCGGTGGTCGGCTAGCCCAATCACAGAGCGAGGATCGCCTTGCGATCCCAGACCCATCTAATGCAACAGATGGATGGCGAGGTGCTGAGGGTGATTTTTAAAGGAGCACCGAGTAACGTTAAGATCCCACGCATAGTTTACGCTCCGCCGGAACAAATGGCACGTGGTGAGTGATCTCTTTCTTAAGAGGGTTAAATGTCCCCCGGTGCTTTTCTCGTCCTAGGGTCTCATGAGGATTCTAGGGAGTATATGTCTGAAGACATCTGGAAATCTTTATTGGTGTGGAATATACTTTGTTTCATCACAGTGCGAGGTCCTTTCCATGAAATTTGCCATAAATGTGCAAAATTTTCGTTGCTCTCACTGGTCAATGGGAACATTTAACAAGAGCAAATTGTAATACACAATGACAACCACATCGTCTAACTTGATACGCATCCACACAGGTTACACACTATAGCACGTAATGAAAATATACGATCGGAAGTATTTTATTGAAAAACGCTATTATCCTCAGAATATTATTGCATTATAGTACATCCTTACATATCACTGTGCAGATGTAAGACTCGCTCTATTTTTATTCGCGATAAAACGTTCTCGGCAGACGGTGGCGCTTGTTGCGCTTGATAACAGGCTGCGAAGAGCGCGGACCGATTAGTACCGCAGCTAGTTGCATGGCGTATCAATGTAAAGCATTAAAATGTTCCAGCTCCTGTTCTGTTGTGGCAAGACGACACAAAAACATTATTTAAAGTTATTGGCAGCGCGCAGCCTGCGCGGCAGGGCAGTGTCCTGGCGCACGCCTTCTACTGTCGACAGTTCAGGCGGGTTCACTCGGTGCGCGGCGGGCCGGTGAGGGACGCTGGCACGGTGCGGGACGGCACGGTGGCCGGGCGGTGCAGTGCGGCATGACACTCGGGCGGTGCAGTGCGGCATGGCACTCGGGCAGTGCAGTGCGGCATGGCACTCGGGCGCTGATTCAACACCTGCGCTCGCAGCGGTGGCCGCTGCGGTCTCTCCAGTTGAGTCAGTTGCCGCGCAGTTGAACAAGTTACTAAAAGTTCAACGCCTGAGTAGTTGAGATGGTGTGGACAACAGCGCGCCTACCGGCTGCCGGCGACGGGCTACCTGAGATGGTCGGTGGTGCGATCATATCCGAGGCCCGCCTACGCTCGTTCGAGCCGGCGGCGGCCGCAGTTGACTCGGCTGCCGTGGCCACGGCCGACTGGTCTTCGACTGACATAGTGAATTGGTGATCCACGTGATACTGCGTGATACGTGTGGTGCTGTGTGATCCACAGGCCTCGGTGTGTCTTGTCTTTGGATGGCCTGGGTGTGTCTTGTGTTGGGTGCGTTGTCGGTGATAAGGTCTGAGATGATTGGGGCCTGAACACGGCGATCGGCCTGCATTCTGACGAGCTCTGGCGAACCGTAGCCCAGTAGCCCGATCAGGTGGAGCGGCGTAGCGGTGGTGCGACGGAAGGCAAGCAGGCATTGTCTTCATTAAGCCACGGTGTCCGGACCGTGAGATGGGGGCACGGTCAGCGGTCCCAAAGGGGGTGACCCGTCAGATGGAACGGGGTCCGTGCGTTCAAAAACAGATTCATGGTCCGTGGATAACGTTGACTTTCTGGGTAGTTGAGCACGGAGGAGAGCGCACGATTTCTGCATCCTTTCGAACTTTTAAGCTATGAGGTCAGAAACCTTGAATACAGTTTGACATGGAGTATCTGAATGAGATAAACGCAGATTTTGAACGTTGACTTTTTTTGTTCCGCCTGTCAATTGGTTTTCAATTAGGAACGTGACATTACTAATGGATTTCAACGCGCGATGAAAACGTTTCCAGTGACATGTGAGTTTTGATAACGAGTTTACGGCAACCGAGGGATGCCTTAAATACACCATGCCGCCAACCTAAATCTTGACTGGTTTTATATTCTGATCGAAGTGCAATTTGTTTTTTCTCGTGGCTTACGGTCAGGTTATGCCTTGCCTTAAGTGATAACAGCAGATTTTAAGCATTGCGAGCGGATAAGACAAGAGCAGATTTTCCAACATTGCGCCGACATGCTCATCTCCTTGACATCTGAACTTTGGAGAGAGAGAGAGAATTGTGTTCATTAGAAGAACTGCATTACGACCTTACATGACAAAGACCGAGTTTTGTGCCGACATTTTTCGCTGTTCCACATGACGAAAAAATGGTGGATATTTTGGTGTCTCAGTCTCTTTGACAAGTTAAGCTAACATATCGTCTTGGACACGATTCAATCGCTCCTACTTGCCGTTTGCTTGAGCATGATAGAATGCAATGCAGAATTCAGTCCCGTTGTCAAATACAGTAGCAAGGACTTAGACATGACGTGAGATGATAGGCTCAATAAAGATTTGTGCCACAGTTACCGTGCCTTTTCATTCCTTGGTTAATGACCCAGGCCACCCAGAAAACATGCAAATTACGTTCATGGTGTACCGAGTATCACCATAACTCTGTGGAAATGGTCCAGGAGGTTCACATCTGGAGGCTTTAGGATTCTGGAGACCTTTTTCGCCATTAAATATACTTTGTTACAGGCAAACTTGAGCGTCTGCCGACAAAATCTGAGCTTCGACGTCATTTGAGAGGCCTCCACATCCCCAACAAGCCCCCACCCTCACTCAATGCCTGAGACCGTCCCGCCTGGCCGACTGAAATGGACCGAACAGTCTTCATCTATGTCATTCCCACATACTCAGTCTATGAACAACGAGCTTTTCATAGCATGACATAACGTATCAAGTATGAAGTCATAACGCATGAAGATCTTAAATAAACCAGTCGGTCACGGGCTAAGCCTTTCCGTCCCCGTGTCCTGCGTGTTAGATTGCATGGCACAGCTCACCACACACCCGTCAGGTCTAACTAACTGCCCTGCACTGCAGGCAAACACGACCGGCGCCGTCCTTGCCAAAGTGCACCTCTGGCTTTGCGTGAAAATGTCGTCGCGACTGTTTCAGGATGTAGCAGGCAGTGGTATAATGGCCTCGACCACGACTACTGATTTCTTCCTTAAGCATTTATGCTGCGGGAGATATGGTCAGATTTCTCTGTCTCGCAAGTTTATTTCCCTGCTTTCACCCGTAAGCGGTTTAACCCGCAAGGAGCAGTATGAGATGTCTTTTGATCGCGTGTTAACCTTCAGTTATGTGTGTCGCTAGTGCAGTGGGAGAAGCTCCCATGGTTAGCCATGTATAGATGACTGCATTGATAAGACGTGATGTCTTCTTCTGCGCCTGGGGCAACTATACAACATCTGCCTGAACGGCGTATTGGTATTTTTTACAACATTAAGTGTAGAGGCGGAGTGGAACCGACTTCCTTTTAAGCTTCATTCGTCAAACGAGGAAAGCAAAAAAAAAGATCTCAAGCAGGTAGCATAGAAAACGAAAAGAACGAAATGACCTGAGCACCAATACCTGGACAGAGACGTCAACATACGAACCAGAGTATTCCCGCACAGGAGCTAACGACGGAAAGACAGACCAATGGGCCCGCGCAACTGACCTTGACGAGCTCCCAGGCGCTGGTACTGAACAGGCTGACGTGGTCCCTGCAGCCGCGCCGCTCCACCACCGCCAGGAACTCGCCGTCCGGGCTAAACGCCAGGCTCGATGCCACGTCCTTCAGGTACTTGATGTAACAGACCCGCTTGTCCACCAGCGACCAGATGGTCACACGCAGCTGAAACCGGTGCCGGCGGCGATCAACACCTCCGTCGCCGGCGCGCGCGCACGCGGCTCCGGTTCCGCGGGGACCTCGCGGCGGCCATCAGCCACCACCGGCTGCTGGGCCGTCCCCTGCGCCGCTGACAGCAAGTGGCCGCCCCTCAGCCGGGCTACAGTCGCGGGGGCGGTACGCAGAGCCGACGCTCACACTAGCCAGACACCGGCGAGCTGTGACCGTACTGATACTTTTACAGAGGCTCGGGTCTTCTGGATAATCCGGCTTGAAATGTCGCTAGTTACAGACGAAATAAAAAAGCATGCACTTCATTTTGGCACAACTCGGAGACGTGCCCGTCTCCGCTCTCTCCCGTCGCCCAGCTGTGAGACCCACGGCGGTGACGTCATTCGCTTACCATGATACCAGCAGGCTGCGACTGCACTCACGCTCAGGCTGCGACTGTACTCACGCTGAGCTCGGCGGTGGTGAGCACGTGCCGGGATGTGGGCGCCCAGCGCGCCGCCGCCAGCCCGGCGTCGGCCTCGTCGATGCGGCCGTGCCAGCCGGTGTCCTCCACGCTCCAGAGCTGGACGGCGCGCCGCGAGAACACCGCCGTCAGCAGCAGCGTCGAGTCCGGCGACCACTCCAGATGCTGCCCAAAACGGCGGTGCGACGCAGTGGTCAGCGGTGCGGGGGAGGACAGGGCCAGCGGCGGGCAGCAGGACGGCGTCAGGAAGGCCCACTTCGCACTTCGCGCAATTAGGATCCCGTTATAGGACAAAATGCTGATGTATGTATGGACAAAGGTTCCTTGTTGGTTTATTGTGTGATGCATGTCATTGCTGACATCACTCAGGCCACGCGTTTTCATGCTGAGGAAAGGGTTGGAAGGTACAACACAGCCCCGCGTCTCTAACCCACATCCTCACCGTACCAGTCAATACATCATCGCTGACCAACGCCAACGCCGCACACAATTTGTACTTTAAATGGCCTTGCTCTGTCCAGGAGTGGTGGGCCACCTAGTGTGTGGTTATCTTGCACCTCGTGCTGGCCCCACCTGCGGGTCATCCAGGCAGGTGAACGAGGCCACCTCCTGCTGGGCAGCTACCCCGAACACAGTCAGTCGGACGCCGAGGGTGGTGGCCAGGTACGCGCCATCAGGCGACACAGCAGCCAGAGTGCAGCGGACAGGTGCAGAGAACTCCATCCTGCTCTCACTGCTAAATGTGGAGAACCACCTGTGTGTCAAGCAACATGGTCTTCAAGTGCAAAGGCCCAAAAGGGGGCAAGATCAGAGCTAGATCAGAAAGATGAGCACACCTGGTCCAGGTATAATTGGTGGGATTACAACTGCACACACATCACAAAAAATACTGAAGTCTGCATACATGCTAAGTTGATGTGGATTTATTTTATGACACAAGTAACTGCTCTGGCCATGTCAGCAAGAAGTTGTAATACCAATTATAGAGAATGAAGTTGTAAGACAGTTGCCTGCCCCCAACCTACATGTTCTTAGAAGCCAGGTGCCAAAATTGGTTCAGTTATGTGATTGTAGAGTATATTAGAAAACCTAAACTTTGATGTGCTCTATTTTATATTGAAATACCTTTGGGCTTGTGTAAGAAGGTAGCATTTGGTAAACCCAAGATCAGCAGTCATATTTTCCCTCCAACAAAGTCACCACCTATCACAGAATGTGGTCTTTCCACACATAAGGTCTCAAAACACCACTCTGACAAAGACAGCAACATACATAATTAAGCCAAAGGCATCAAAACAAGATTGGGAACATTTATGGGCTTGACGAGGCGATAAAGAACAATGTGCCACAATTTTACAAGCCAACTGCATGACATTAATTACCTCACATTCCCCAGCAAATGACACCCAAATTGGTTTTACTCACCTGGAAGAACGTCTGTCGACGACCTAGAGAAATGACGTTTGTTTAGAGACTTGCGCGACAAGCCTTAACAAATCACAGGATGTCGCATACCTCCTTACACTTTAAGCTTGGCAATACGATGATAAGTCTGTCCCCCAGGTAAGGCATGTTTATGATCAACAGCCTAGAAATTGATGACAATGCCTTGGGCGCGCTTTTTTAAGAGTACTGCACCAGGAATGCCTCAAGTGCGTGATGATAGTTTTAAAAACTTGCAGCCAATTTAGTACTGCTGCCAACTTTTAGTTTTCTGCGCATCTTTTCAAGGTCGGTATAAATATGCCTGACGTTATCTCACAATACGCCCGAGGCCTCTGACACTTTTATTCCGAGGTGATCCGAGGTAATGTAGCCTGGCCCACGCGCGGGGTGCATGATGTTGGATATTTCTTCGCATTGCGCTTAAAAAGCACCGCAGTGTTGCGAAGTTTCACGTGTGGGGCATGGATGTCCGGGCTTCGGTTCGGAGATGGTTCTCATGGTTCTTGTCCAATTTTGCGTGTGAATAGGAAGTTTTGAAGGTTGAAAAGGCAATTCCAATTTAGCCTGCCTGCATAAGGCGCAAAACTCTCCTCATGGCATCTTAGAATGTCGACATCACTGAATTCCAGGATGGTTTCCAATTGGTTTTTCTAAGCATTGTTTTCATGCCTTCTCCAAAGTGCTAAGGTGCTTTAATAAGTTTTCTGGTATTGCTGCTCTGGGCTTTACTCTTAAAATGATCTGATCCACTTGAATCTGGTACAACAGCCACCTGGTATTGGTATGAGCTGACACAATGGAAAGGAGGTTATGGCTAAATACAAGGAAGTGCATGTAACACTGAAAATGCTCCACTTGGCAGTGATACCCCCCCCCCCCCTAAAGGAATCACTGCTTGCACCCCTTAAATATGAGCCATTGTTAATCCTAGTCTTGTGCATTGCTGCCACAAATTCTTATGGCCCAGTGTTTCAGGGTTTCAGTGCTGTGAAGATATTTGCATCACATTGCTGATCTCACATCAGGGTAGAAAATATTAATTGCAAAATGTACCTTAATAAAAATTAATAAAAATATAAAAACTGTTGAAATTTGTGATGCTTTGACACCAACCTGGGGTTGTCTGTGTGGGTATTCTGAATCCAGAACAAGTTAATCTGTACTCATTGCTAAGCAATTTTACC